GTTCAAGCTCACCAGCTGCTCCGCGGAAACCCTATACTGGGTCGTTATGAGTCAGAATCGACTCCATGGCACTTAACAACAACAAAAAATAGCAATAAGAATTATAGATATGTCATAATATCTTTATCTAATAAATAATGTGTTTGGACTGCTTTGTTAGAAATGAATATAAAGATGAAAAGGATTATTGGCCAGTCTGGTAGTTTTCAACCTGTAAGAACATTATGGGAGATACTTTCCAAGACATCAGTGGATGCCTGAAACCGTGGATAGCACCAAACCCCATATGTATTGTTTTTCCTTGTACATGCATACCTATGGTTGACGCTGTAGAATAAACACTAGACTGCTAACCTCATGGTCATGCATCAAACCCACCAGCTGCTCCTCAGAAACCTTATACAGGATTACTATGAGTTGAAACATACTCGATGGCACTTAACAACAACAACAACAACATTAACATGATAAAGTGTAATTTGTAAATTAGGAGTAGTAACAGAATAACCACCAAAAACTAAAAATGAAAAGGGAAAAAATATTACCTATATTGTAATAAACATTATTTTATAGAAAATTCATCTCACTGTAAATCTTAGCAAACTCAGAAAATAATTATTTTTGTTTCCTTATTAAGTTGAGAATTTACAGATTTTCACTTAAAGGAGTCACTCTACTTTTGCTTTTTGACATACTTGAATTGCTATCATCACTCGTTTTGCACCTTGGGGCCATTATTAAGCAAAATAAAGTTTACTTGAACACAAGCACTGTGCTGTGCCGACAGAGATCTGACAGTGTGTACAGCGTGGGTACATTGGAAAAAGGGATGCTTCATATCCATATTAGACAGAGTGGAATACTGCAAGAGTTTAGTATACTGCTCAGAACCGCCATAATTTAAAAATTCTGAGTTGTCTGTTCCTGAAATTTTCCATTACTGTTTTCATATTGTGTTGGTTGAGTAGCTCAAACCAGGGAGAGTTAAACCTCAAGTAAGGGGGAACTACTCTTCCCAAACTTTGAGCTAGTAGTTATTGTTATGCAGATCTCGTTAGTATATTTAATCTTAAAATTTTTACCTTACACAAGAAGAAGCAGGAAAACCACTCAAAAACCTAATCTCTGCCATCAAATGTATTCCAACACAGAGTTGACACTATAGGATTAAATACAATTAACTGCCTCCGAGGGTTTCCAAAGCTGTGTGGCACTATGGGTTAATGTGCCAGACTCCA